GTCACTGCATAACTTGGCTTGCCCTTTTTTGCCAACCCAGGCAAGAAATTATTCACAGTTGTGTCTTAAATGAATGAAATAGAAAATCCAAAAGATTCCTTTGTCAGCAATCATAAATAATAATAAAGAATTGGAAAATAGCTGTCTTAAAATAGAATAGAATTCTTTATTGTCCAAGTGTGTTTGGACACACAAGGAATTTGTCTTTGGTGCATATGCTCTCAGTGTACATAAAAAGACAAGATACATTCATCAAGAATCATAAGGTACAACATTTAATAATAGTCATAGGGTACAAATAAGCAATGAGGAATCAATTAATATAAATCGTAAGGATACAAGCAACAAGTTACAGTCCTGCAGTCATAAGTGGGAGAAGTTGGGCGATAGGAACGATGAGAAGACAAATAGTAATAGCAATGTAGCCTTAGTGAGTAGTTTGACAGTGGTGAGAGAATTATTTGTTTAGCAGAGTGATGGAGTAATGGTAGAACCAATCCTGCAGATGTTTTTGTTCTGGGACAACTTGTGAAAGTTGTTGTCTGATAACCAAAAGCACTTAAGATAGAAATGCTTTTATAACAGCTTTACGTCTTTCTTCTCATGTATGGAACCCCTCTTTCTCCCTGTACCACAGGTCCTGGATTTTGGGTGGCCTGACTTACACACTCCTGCCCTGGAGAAGATATGCAGTATCTGCAAGGCCATGGACACATGGCTCAATGCTGACCCACACAATGTGGTAGTGTTGCATAATAAGGTGAGAGGAAAGAAAGGGAAATCCCTGGAGGATGGTTGTAGAGAGAACTGTGGGTTGTTGTTTTTTGCCTCTGCTTAAATATCACAATTAAGGCAAATAACATTTAGCACAGGAGTCCCCAACCTTTCCGATTCCGTGGACCAGCAGTGGCAGAACTGGTGGTGTGGTGGTGGGGAGAGAGGATGGTTTCATGCATGCACTTGCTGCTTGTGCAAATTGAGCTTCGCATGCTCACACACTTGCCCACCGCTTGTGCGGCCCAGTTCCCAATGGGCTGTAGAGACCGGTACCAAGCACGGACCAGGGATTGGTGAACCCTGATTTAGCAAACAGATTGAATGTGGCAAAAGGAGCTTCTGAATAGTTTTTATTCTGATTTTGTAAAGCAAATACGTGACCAGTGCATGTGATCTCAAGGCCAGCTTTGTTTATGGCTAGGAGGACTCCCTCATTCTCTTGATTGTAACTGTCTTGCTTATGGCTAAAGAATCATCTCCTGAATTGTTATCCATGAACAGAAAGTGTATTCTTATTTTGGCAATGTTGTATCTGCTATTGCCATGCTTGTAAGCAATTTGCTATGCACACAGTTGTGTATTCCTCCCCATCCCCGATTATTGTAAAATAGTTTTTGCAAGCTTTGTGCTAGATATGGCCTCAGCTGGATGTTCAGCCTGTGCTTCAGATAGTGGTGAAAACAGGATGTGTAATCTCAGCCCTGCTTTCTTGTGATGGGAATATTTTCAGCTTTTTCCACCAAACTTCCTGTTCTCACTGTTTAGTTTTCAGTTTTATGGGTATTATTCAGCACTCTTATATAATCGTTTGTTGCTGTGCATTTGTGATTGGTCTATGCGTGCTTCTGCATTGCTGGTGCTTCCATTATTTGAAACTGTTATGCTTAAAGATGTTCTTCTTCTATATCAGACATTCCTAAATTATATCGGATTTGATGTAGTTCAAAAGTTGATTCCTCTCCCCTGGACATTATTTTAAGACTTGAAAGGCATAAAACATGAGTTTTAGCAACTGCATCAAATAAGGCTTCCCAAAATTTTTTGAAGAAAAATTGAGTATTGAAACCAGGACAACATTCAGTTAAGTCTACATGTCTAAAACTTCAAGAGAAGCTTTCTGCGGTTGTGTTAACGTAACATGTATAAGCAGTCGGTTGAAGAGCTGTCAACTCACTTTGCTTGCTTTAACCTTGGTCTGTCTGTCTGTTGGTTGACTTAGCCTGCTTGCAAACTCAGCCTATTTATTTAACTTATGGTTCAGTGTCGTGTGGTTCTAGGCAGGTATATGCAGGTCTAGGAAATAGATGGATTCACCAACCAAGGTTGTGTGAAACTTATCCTTCATTGCCAGAACTTGAAAATGAGTTTTTACTGTAACTGTGAGTTTTTACAATTTTTACAGTGGGGTGCAGTGGTTAGAATGCAGTATTGCACGCTAATTCTGCCGACTGCCAGCAGTTCGATTCTCCCCAGGCTCAAGGTTGACTCAGCCTTCCATCCTTCCGAGGTCGGTAAAATGAGGAATCAGATTGTTGGGGGCAATATGATGACTCTATAAACCACTCAGAGAGGATTGTAAAGCACTATGAAGTGGTATATAAGTCTAAATGCTATTGCTATGGCTACTATAACTAATTTGTTCTTATTCTTTTGGAGCTGCTAGGTATTGAGACCATAGCTTCCATTCTCTTGCTATTACTGTGCGATTTGTATTACTCCAGTGAAGCAGCATTATTTGAACTTTTTGTTTTTTCTATTTGCATTCTAAAGCACAATTTAAGTTTCTCATAAAATAAATACATATATGTGTTCTTACTTCTTTGTTAAACATATTAGCCCCTGGGTTAAATTGCAGAAAATGGAAAAAGTAGGTATGTTGTTCTCCTAGGAGAGTAACATTAAATAAGGGGATGAGATGCGAGTCGCAGAAGGGTGAAGTTTGTCAGTACATTCCACGTGTCTCAAGGGATATAGGGTAACTTTCCTGCCCAAAATTCCATAGGTAGTGGTGCATTTGGGAAAATTTCTAAAACTGCACACTTCACCCTCTGGGGAACTGCAACACCATTGCACATCGCTTTGATTATGTGATTGTGAGTACATGGAAGACATTAAGTTTTGATGAGTTGTGGATTGGATTGGATGACCATTATGACTGTTTCTGACTTCATGGTCGGTGGTTCAATGATTTGATGTCTTTTATGCTTTGATATTGTGGTCTATTTGGGCACGAGTAAAGGAATACACAAAAGGGCTCAGTGGCTAAGACGCTGAGCTTGTCGATCAGAAAGGTTGGCAGTTTGGTGGTTCGAATTTCTACCCCCCCCTCCCGTAACCGAGTGAGGTCCCGTTACTTTTTCCAGCTTCTGCCAACCTAGCAGTTTGAAATCACGTAAAAAATGCAAGTAGAAAAATAGGAACCACCTTTGGTGGGAAGGTAGCGTTCCATGTGCCTTCGGCATTTAGTCATGCCGGCCACATGACCACGGAGACGACTTCGGACAGCGCCGGCTCTTTGGCTTTGAAACGGAGATGAGCACTGCCCCCTAGAGTGGGGAACAACTAACACATACAGTATGTGCACAGGGAACCTTTACCTTTAAAGGAATATACAGTACAGGTAGTCATTGACTTACTACCATTCATTTAGTGATTGTTTGAAGTTACAACGGCACTGCAAAGAAGTGATTTCTGACTTTTTTTCATAGTTATGACCCCATGGTCATGTGATAAAAATTTGGATATTTGGCAGCTGCATGTATTTATGATGGTTGTAGTGTCCTGGGGGGTCACGTGATCAGTTTTTGCAACTTTCTAATAAGCAAAGTCAATGGGGAAGTCAGTTTCAGTTAACAACCGTATTACTAGTTTAACAACTGCAGTTATTAAACAACTTAATAACTGTGACAAGGAAGGTTGAAAAATCGAGCAAAACTCACTTATCTTGCTTAGCCATAGAGATTTTTTGGCTCAATTGTGGTAGAGGACTACCTACGGATACTTTTAAATACTACAGATTTTTTTTAAAAAAAACATTTTTTTACACTTCTTTATGATATGATTGATTTTTTACAGAAGGCTCTTGAAATAGAGGACCTCATGAAATTAATCTGTAGGCTGCAAGTTATATATCCCTGAAACATGTAAAGGCTGACAACAGACTCACAGCCAANAAGTGTATTCTTATTTTGGCAATGTTGTATCTGCTATTGCCATGCTTGTAAGCAATTTGCTATGCACACAGTTGTGTATTCCTCCCCATCCCCGATTACTGTAAAACAGTTTTTGCAAGCTTTGTGCTAGATATGGCCTCAGCTGGATGTTCAGCCTGTGCTTCAGATAGTGGTGAAAACAGGATGTGTAATCTCAGCCCTGCTTTCTTGTGATGGGAATATTTTCAGCTTTTTCCACCAAACTTCCTGTTCTCACTGTTTAGTTTTCAGTTTTATGGGTATTATTCAGCACTCTTATATAATCGTTTGTTGCTGTGCATTTGTGATTGGTCTATGCGTGCTTCTGCATTGCTGGTGCTTCCATTATTTGAAACTGTTATGCTTAAAGATGTTCTTCTTCTATATCAGACATTCCTAAATTATATCGGATTTGATGTAGTTCAAAAGTTGATTCCTCTCCCCTGGACATTATTTTAAGACTTGAAAGGCATAAAACATGAGTTTTAGCAACTGCATCAAATAAGGCTTCCCAAAATTTTTTGAAGAAAAATTGAGTATTGAAACCAGGACAACATTCAGTTAAGTCTACATGTCTAAAACTTCAAGAGAAGCTTTCTGCGGTTGTGTTAACGTAACATGTATAAGCAGTCGGTTGAAGAGCTGTCAACTCACTTTGCTTGCTTTAACCTTGGTCTGTCTGTCTGTTGGTTGACTTAGCCTGCTTGCAAACTCAGCCTATTTATTTAACTTATGGTTCAGTGTCGTGTGGTTCTAGGCAGGTATATGCAGGTCTAGGAAATAGATGGATTCACCAACCAAGGTTGTGTGAAACTTATCCTTCATTGCCAGAACTTGAAAATGAGTTTTTACTGTAACTGTGAGTTTTTACAATTTTTACAGTGGGGTGCAGTGGTTAGAATGCAGTATTGCACGCTAATTCTGCCGACTGCCAGCAGTTCGATTCTCCCCAGGCTCAAGGTTGACTCAGCCTTCCATCCTTCCGAGGTCGGTAAAATGAGGAATCAGATTGTTGGGGGCAATATGATGACTCTATAAACCACTCAGAGAGGATTGTAAAGCACTATGAAGTGGTATATAAGTCTAAATGCTATTGCTATGGCTACTATAACTAATTTGTTCTTATTCTTTTGGAGCTGCTAGGTATTGAGACCATAGCTTCCATTCTCTTGCTATTACTGTGCGATTTGTATTACTCCAGTGAAGCAGCATTATTTGAACTTTTTGTTTTTTCTATTTGCATTCTAAAGCACAATTTAAGTTTCTCATAAAATAAATACATATATGTGTTCTTACTTCTTTGTTAAACATATTAGCCCCTGGGTTAAATTGCAGAAAATGGAAAAAGTAGGTATGTTGTTCTCCTAGGAGAGTAACATTAAATAAGGGGATGAGATGCGAGTCGCAGAAGGGTGAAGTTTGTCAGTACATTCCACGTGTCTCAAGGGATATAGGGTAACTCCAAGTAACAGGCTTTCCTGCCCAAAATTCCATAGGTAGTGGTGCATTTGGGAAAATTTCTAAAACTGCACACTTCACCCTCTGGGGAACTGCAACACCATTGCACATCGCTTTGATTATGTGATTGTGAGTACATGGAAGACATTAAGTTTTGATGAGTTGTGGATTGGATTGGATGACCATTATGACTGTTTCTGACTTCATGGTCGGTGGTTCAATGATTTGATGTCTTTTATGCTTTGATATTGTGGTCTATTTGGGCACGAGTAAAGGAATACACAAAAGGGCTCAGTGGCTAAGACGCTGAGCTTGTCGATCAGAAAGGTTGGCAGTTTGGTGGTTCGAATTTCTACCCCCCCCTCCCGTAACCGAGTGAGGTCCCGTTACTTTTTCCAGCTTCTGCCAACCTAGCAGTTTGAAATCACGTAAAAAATGCAAGTAGAAAAATAGGAACCACCTTTGGTGGGAAGGTAGCGTTCCATGTGCCTTCGGCATTTAGTCATGCCGGCCACATGACCACGGAGACGACTTCGGACAGCGCCGGCTCTTTGGCTTTGAAACGGAGATGAGCACTGCCCCCTAGAGTGGGGAACAACTAACACATACAGTATGTGCACAGGGAACCTTTACCTTTAAAGGAATATACAGTACAGGTAGTCATTGACTTACTACCATTCATTTAGTGATTGTTTGAAGTTACAACGGCACTGCAAAGAAGTGATTTCTGACTTTTTTTCATAGTTATGACCCCATGGTCATGTGATAAAAATTTGGATATTTGGCAGCTGCATGTATTTATGATGGTTGTAGTGTCCTGGGGGGTCACGTGATCAGTTTTTGCAACTTTCTAATAAGCAAAGTCAATGGGGAAGTCAGTTTCAGTTAACAACCGTATTACTAGTTTAACAACTGCAGTTATTAAACAACTTAATAACTGTGACAAGGAAGGTTGAAAAATTGAGCAAAACTCACTTATCTTGCTTAGCCATAGAGATTTTTTGGCTCAATTGTGGTAGAGGACTACCTACGGATACTTTTAAATACTACAGATTTTTTTTAAAAAAAACATTTTTTTACACTTCTTTATGATATGATTGATTTTTTACAGAAGGCTCTTGAAATAGAGGACCTCATGAAATTAATCTGTAGGCTGCAAGTTATATATCCCTGAAACATGTAAAGGCTGACAACAGACTCACAGCCAAATTTGTCATGATGGGGCAGCTGCTCGCATATTTGCTCTGCTCCCAAGAATAGGATCAGATAGGATCCCTGCTTTCAAAAATAGGAAACTGCAACAGAGTACTAACAATTTATCAGATACATCTTCTTGTGTTCCTTTTACCTCTGTCATTTGTGTTGAGATGAGTTAAACATGCTTAATGCAAGAGAACGTGGAAGGAAAGGAGAGCTGAATATGCGAGCA